GCAACCCCTTAGCCATTATCCACCCAATGTAACTAATTTTTAGTGATATAAATGATCAAAAAAAAAAAAAAAAAAAAAAAAAAAAAAAAAAAAAAAACTGAGTTAAAACAAAACCTGGTGAAATTTGATATAACTAAAATAATAACTCACATTGAAGATGGGAAAAAATTGGCCTGAGGAAAATAATCAAAGAAAATAAAACTTAAACTTTGTTATCCAAAAAATGATAGAAAAAAAATCTTATGGTGACAAAATCAAGATCTGGAAGATTTTACCCAGGAAAAATAATTGAGTTTGAAAAAAGTGATGCCCTCAAGAGAAGACTCACATTGGTTGAAACATAATAACACATGATAAGGGCTCAGAAAACTAATTAATGAACTAAATCCTCATTATAACATTTACACAAAAATAATTGATCCCAATTAAAATAACTTTAGTTCGTTAAAAATCAAAATAAAATACGTTAGAAATTATCTGATTGTGGTTATAGAAAACTGACTTAGGAATTGAATTAGTTCAGTGTACTTTGATCCACAGATACTTTCTTTAAAAAAAAAAAAAGTTTGCATATAGTTTCATTGGGATCACAAGTATAAAATTTGAAATACAAGAGAGAAGGTCTATTGTTATCATGAGGCACATTAGTGTTTGTTTATTAAACAGAGGACTTTTCCAAGTGTAATCAGTTAAATCTTGTTTGATCCATTTGTAACAATGCTGATTGTTTTTGTGGCAGGACCTCAAGGGGGAGAAGGGAGACAGGGGAGCCATGGGTGAATCCGGACCTCCGGGACCCCCAGTAAGTGTTTAGAATCATATTGTTCCCAAGACACATAAAGTAGAACCTCAGTACATAGTTTGGTGTATGTTCTACCTTTAAATCTTAATATTAGCTAAAATGCAATAATATTTGACCAAAAAGATCATGAATAGACTAGAATTACTTCATGGCCACTTCTAGCTGAAATCCTGCGCCGTTTTACATGCCCCTGATGTCACCCATCTTATGACTTATCTTCAGCATCTGCATCTTTAATATCTGTTTTTAAATAAATACTCATAAATAAGATTTCTCTCTTAGATGACTCATCACTTGAATATTTTTTATATGGTAGACTAATCAGAAGGGACCAATTAATGCAACTCAATGTAAGTAAAAAAAAAAATCAATAATTCATTAAACTTGACATAGCTGTAATTAATACAGGGGCCACCTGGAGAGTCATACGGATCTGAAAACGGTGCATCTGGAGAGACTGGCCCACAGGTAAATTTGGAAATTCAGAGTCACATGCAGCCTATATTAGTTAGGACTCAGACCTCTTTAGGTTGTGAGAATAAGATGCCTAACTCAAACTAGCTTAGGTTAAAATTTTTTTTTCAAAGGTTTGGGAGGTGGGATTTATTTGTTTAAGTATGTGAGAAGTTCAAGGCTGAAACAGGCTTCAAGCACTTGAGAGCCTGAAACAATATGAGCAGGAGACTCTCTCCATCTCACTTCTGCTTCTCTCTGAACATCCGCCTCATTCTCTCCTTTGGCAGATAGATGGTCTTCTTTGTCCGGGGAGATGGGGAGAGAAAGCCAGGTGTAGCAGCAGCAACTTCAAGTTAATGGCATCAAAGGAGAGAGTAACTTTCCCCCTATGTCCATATATAAAATGCCAGAGAATTAATCTGATTGGCCCAGCTTGGGTTATATGTCTCAGTCTGAAAAATGGCTGTGGCCAGGAGGAAAAGGTGCTCTGATTGGCCACAACAGTGGGGCAGTGGGCTACTGTGATTGACAGCCCCATCAGAGCCACCCAGAGTGAGGGAAGGGAAGCTCCTCAAAGGAAATGGGGCATAATGTAACCAGAAGTGGGATGCTGGGAAGACAGAAGCAACAGGGTCCCACTCCACACCCAACTCCACTTTGGAAAGATTTAAACACATACATTAATTATGTAAAACCTCTAAAAGTTTTACATTGGGAGAAGTATGCTTTTTAACCTAAGAAAAAAATATTCAGCCAACGTGATTTTCAATTCTATTATGAAAGGTAAATACCATAATAGTTAATCCAAAAGCTATGTCTGTCTAGGCACCACAATATACCTTTTATACATATATTTAGAACATGAGCACCTTTCAAATAAATAAGTTGACTGTGAACACCTCCCTTTCCAGGTTTCCATATTCACCTTTCTGAGCTTCCTTGAATTTCCTTCCCAGCTCAGGATGGACAGTATCAACTGTTGCTTTGTGTTGCTTCACCCCCCATGGATTTGTCACCCCTCTTCCCCTGGGTGACAGAGATGCAAAGGATTATTCAAAGCCCATCTCTTCTGAGCAGTGAGAGACCCCAAAGCGATTAAGTTCCCTGGAACCCTCCAGTGAGAGGGATCCCTTCCTTGGGCAATTAACCCCGAATTGGGATTCTCTTCCTGCATTTATTTTCCAGACCAGGAAGTTATAGGAAGAGACTTAGGTGGTGTTATAGTTTAACAATATAGGCTGGTAACTTTCAATGAAACAAGCCAGATGACATTCCAGTAAGGCTGTCAACAAAAGCTTGATCTTAGCAAACATTCCTTCTCCTTTTAGCAGTTTTCCAGCAACTTAGATATCAATCAGTAACTAACCTGTCTTTGAGCCAGCAACCTTGCTGTGCCACAATTCTTATCTTGCAACAGAGACTCAATAGCCTGGGGAAAATTTCCAGTCCTCCGCAAGGTCAATATTTGAAACTGCAAGGCTTTGGAAAACCAGGCCCTGTGAAGTACATATGCTTTATAATATATTCCACAATCAATTCTAATTTAAGCTTAGCTATTAGTTTCTTTCTTCCTTCCTTTGAGTCTAATTTCTCATTCTGATTGGCTTCTGCCTTCCCTGGCAAAAGTAGGTCATTGCAAATTCTGTAATTAATAGTCTTTCCTTCTGAAACTTAGGTGGGGACCCTCACTCAGGTTTTCTTGCCTGAGGTTAAGAGGAGATAACGTTACTTAAGTTTTCCATGTTTATTAAACTTATCTATGATTGTTAAATTGTATGTGTTTGTTTTGTTTTTGTTTTAGGGAAAACCTGGAAAAGATGGTTCCCCTGGCTTCCCTGGCACTGAGGTGAAGACATGATTTGGCACACTGATGTAGTGAAAATGTCAGTCCTACTAGAATGAAGAAGGATTTTTGAGAGTCACTAAGTAGTTAGGAATGAATGAAAATCTTATAGCTTTAAAAACCTACATTTGAGAATCATAGTTTTACACCTTCACTGTGAAGAGAGATCATCTGAGTACATCTTTTTTTCAAAACGGACTTCAAACTGCCCCTGCTCCCTACAGAAGCAATTGATTGGTGTGCCTGCTGATCTGCTCCCTTCTGCTCTTTTCTTTAGGGAGCCAAGGGCAACAGGGGCTTCCCTGGGTTACCTGGAGAAGATGGCATTAAGGTAATCCTCACCCTGGCATTCTGTCTTTGCTCCTTTTTAATTGGCTGGCTTTTGTCTACCTTACCCTTTTACCCTACACCCTGGACCTAGGTTCAAGGAACTGCAATCACAGACTTCATTAAAATACCTTGTATTTGTTAAGAATAGAGACATGTGTCAACTTGACCTAAACATTTGAAGGATGGCCTTGAGGGAAATATATTAAACTTGTCTGTGTGTTGAAGCTGGCCGGCTTAGGACCAGTGAAATTTCAGCTCCCCATGAGGAAGGGATTGGGAAAGGCCTGTGATTACAGGAAGTTTCTGGTCATTGGAGATCAGGCATGAGCTGGAACCCAGGAGTCTCAATCTGGGTCATGATACACTGAGAGGTCATGATCAATTAATTGTGAAACTTTAATCTGTGTCATTTGTTTCTGACAACACATTACAGATATTTTCAAACGGTTTGTATATGTAGGTCTATGAGCATATTCAAGATTTATCCTTTAGTAGTATGACTTCCAGAAGAATTCTGAAATGCCCTCTTGAGAGAAGGGGGTTGGTGACAGCAGGGACACTGGGAATTGCATACAACCCCCAGCCAGGTTTTCCTGTGCCTGTAGTCTGGGTGAGGACAAGGAATGTGCAAGGCCTGTGGACATCCTCTGAAAGGGCTGGTGCAGGAGAAAACTGGAGACCCACAAGAACAACAACCACTTCCTAACAACCTCGTAGACAGGATCTCTGACCCAGATACAGGTTTTCCAGGAAAATAATTTAAAGTCAATGTCTCTTTAACTTTAATTTGGTTTGTACATTACATCTAAATAGCATTACCTTTAGCATTAATTGATTGTTCAACTGTGCATTTTGCTTTTTAAGGATACCAAATACATCAATACTTTTGGTTAATGTACTCATAATTTGTAACTGTCTTTCAATGTAGGGCTGGAAAGGGGACATTGGCCCTCCAGGATTTCGTGGTCCAGTAAGTGTGATTAAAAACAATATCAATGACATGTTGGATCAAGTCCTTTAAAGTATAGAGGAAATTTTGAATCGGTGTCTCTCATTAATAATTGTGATAGAGATTGTGGCATTTACCTTTTTATCAAACCAGGGCAAAAAATAGCTGTTGTCACTATTTGTCCATTTGACAGTGAACAAATACTTCTATTTGATCCTATTCAGTCCTGAGAAGGCACCAGCAATGCCCAGCTTGGGCTATAGAGAAGAAAAGTTTTGTCTAATCAGACCTGGCCCAAGGTGATCCTGCACCCTCGGGGTAGAGGGGAGGGATACTGCAGAGGACAGGTGGGGCTACTTCTCCCCTCCACCTGGGCCCAGCTCTGACAGCAGAAGCTCAGCCATGGGCTTAACTCAGGGTTGGCAAAAACCCATCGTCCCAACCCAAGCTCCATTGCAGCAGGGAGTGCTCCCCTCTGCAACACAGGCATGGATTTGATGTCAGTTCTTGATGGCAGAGTGGCCACATTCTGTATTCTATGACTCTGTAGCTTCAGGGGAGCATAAAAAGGGACCCAGGTCTGAGTTCTGGTATCTGTTCATCTTCCATTCAAAGAACCAGCGGTGGTCCTCATATTCTGTGCTGAGCAGGGCTGTCACATAGGATCATGCAGGTTGGACAAAATGGCCCATGGTGGCAAAAGTCATAGGGGAGGGAGTGTCCGTTAAAAATGCGGCTCAGTAATTTAACTCAGTAACTGGAGGTGGAGCCTGGAAATCTGCATCTTTACATTAAAAGCAAATAACTCAGATGCATATGGTCTCTGTCTTAGTTGATTTTGTGCTGCTACAACAGAATACCTGAGATTGGGTAACTTACAAAGAACAGAAATTTATTTCTCACAGTCCTGGAGGCTGGGAAGTCCGAGATCAAGTGCCTGCAGTCGCTCTGCGAAGGGCTTTCTTCTTGTGTCCTCACATGGCAGAGGGCAGAAGGGCAGGCCAGCCGAAGCCTGTGTGAAGCCTCGTTTAAAAGGGCCTTAACCCCATTAACAAAGGAGAAGCACTTACGGCCCAATTACCTCTTACAGGCTCCACCTTTTTTTTTTGGAAACATAATTGATTATACATATTTGTGGGGTACAGAGCTGAATATCAATACCTGTGTGCAATATGCGGTGATCAAATCAGGGTACTTAGTATATTCATTATTACACAATGTAATCATTCTTTGTAAACCTTTACCCATTTCTCACTAACACCCCCCTTTCCCATCTCAGTTAATCTCTATTTTCTCCTTTTGAAAGTTCAATGTATTATTGTGGTTGTTGTATCTTCCTTTCTCTTTTTGTTTACTTGTTTATTTTTTTAGCTCCCACTTATGAGCAAGGACATGGAATATTTCTCTTTCTGTGCCTGGCTTATTTCACTTAACACAATTTTCTCCAAGTTCATCCATATTGCTGCAAATAGCAAAATTTCATTCTTTTTTATGGCAGAGTAGTATTCCATTGTGCATATAGACCACAGTTTCCTTATCCAGTTGTCTGTCAATGGATATTTATGATGGTTCCAACTCTCGGCTATCATAAATATAGCTGCAATGAACATGGGAGTGCAGGTATCCCTTTGACATGATGATTTCCATCCCATTTCTGTTATGTACCCAGCATTGGGATTGCTGGACCATATAGCAGTTCTATGTGTAGTTGTTTGAGGTACTTCCATACTGTTTTCCATAGTGGCTGCACTAACTTGCCGTCCCACCAGCAGTGTAGGAGGATTCCCCTTTCTCCTCATCCTCGCCAGCATTTCTTATTCTGTGTCTTTTTGATAATAGCTTTGGCAACACCTGGATTTTGGAGGAGATACACTTAAGCCATAGCAGTCACAAAATACTTGTATGGAGTTGCCAGAAAGATTAAATGGGCTATTTTGTGAAAGCAGTTAGCACAGTGGCCAACACTTGGTCACTGCACACATATCATTACAGATTTTATGATGGAGATATGTTATCATTATCATTAATAATAATACTTTTTTGTGTTTTTATACATATTGTTTAACCACAAGGCTCTGGTTACCTAATCTTTAAACAAGTCAACAAAATAATTGGTCCATGCAGCAGAAAAAACAAAACAGAGTTTTAAAAAACATTTTATATTTCCACCTTCTCTCCTTCAAGATGGATATACTGAATCTTAAGTGAAATCTACTAGCCCATTTAGAGGAATTCTTTTTTTTTTTTTTTTTTTTTTTTTTTTTTTTTTT